GTTGTGAGCTGCTAGGTGGGTGCTGGGGGTCCCCTTGAAGAACAGCCAGTGCTCTTAACCGCTGAGCCATCTCTCCAGCCCTGATTCTCACTTTTTACTGTCTTCCCATGCTGCAGAAAACAGTGGGATGTTAATAACCACAGAAGATTGAGGCTTGCTTAAAAACAACACTTTCTTTACTTTGTTTTTTGTTTGTTTTGCTTTGAGAAAGAGAAACTGTATAGACCTGGTTAGTCTAGAACTCACTTAGACCAGGCTGGCCTTGAACTCATAGAGATCTGTCTGCCTCTGCCTCCTGAGTGTTGGGATTAAAGATGTGCCTGGCTTTGTTTTTTAAGATTTATTCTTTTTTTTTTTTAATTATGAGGCTGGGGGATGTATATTCACATGAGTACAGTGCCCTCAAAGGTCAATAGATCCCCTGGAGGAGGAATCACAAACTGTTGTGAGCCATTAAGTGTCCGTGTTGGACACCAAACTCCAGTCCTCTGCAAGAGCAGTTTCTCCAATCCTTTTTTCTATTTTGAGACAGGGATCTTGTCACTATGTTGCCTACACCAACCACAAACTGGCTGAGGAGACAGTTCTACTGGCCAAGTACTTTCCATGCAAGCATGAGAACCTGAGTTCCATACTCCAGAAAAAAAACCTAGGTATGGTGTCCCGGGCTTATTATCCCAGCACCAGGAAGTTGGGCTTATTATCCCAGCACCAGGGAATTGGACACAAGAGAATTACTAGAGACAGGAAGATCCCTGGGGCTCCCTGACCAGCCATTCTAGTCAAATTAGAGAGCCTAAAGTCAGTGAGAGACCCAATCTCAAAAAATCAAGAGGCTTGCACCTGAAGACAGACACCCAAGGCTGACCTCTGGACCTACACATACGTGCACAAAGGAGCACATACAAGGCACTCATATGCCCCCATCCCTGGGCTCAAGTGATCTTCCTGTCTCAACCTCACAAGTAGCTTGGATTATAGGTATATACTTGTTTGCAAACAGCACTCTTTTAAAAGTTTGTTTGTTTGGGTTTTTTTGTTTTTTTGTTTTTTTGTTTTTGTTACATTTGTTTGTGTGTGGAGTATGTATGCAGTCACTCCTGTAGTCAGAGGACAACCCACAGGAGTCATTCTTTCCTCTGACCAAACATAATTCAAAAATTCAAAACAAATAAAACGTATTTTTAAAGATTTATTCTGTATGTATGAGTGTTCTGCAGGCCTGTGTATCACAGGCACCCATGGTACTCACAGAGCTGGAACTAGAGTTGTATATGGTTGTGAGCCATCATGTGGTATTGGGAACAGAACCTGGGACCTCTGCAAAAGCAGCAAGTGCTCTTACCTGCTGAGCCAACTCTCTAATTCTAGAACTTTAAAATGATAACCATTCTGAGTCCACAAATCCATCTGCATCTATTTTCTAGTTCAATCATCCTTCAGACTAAAGAGCTGTTAGTATTGTTAAATGCCTCACTGCTGAGCTGGGGTGCAGCTCTCTGATAGACTTCAAGGGCCTTGGGTTCCATGCCCAGCATTGCCAAGGGGGTAAGAGAAACCCAATGCCCTATGAACAAGAGATTTAAGTGCAGGGTTAACACAGCCTGTGGGGCCTGATACTTTAAACACATTCCCGTTCCCCTGTAACAGAGGAAGGGAACAATATGCTGGAGGAAAAGGGCTATGAGCTGCTGGAGTCTCCTTCAGTCAGGCTCTATTCCTTACCCAAAGGGCAGAATAATCAAACCCTCAAGCTAGGTTCAGTCAGTGATTTATCACAAATGGACAGAAGTCCTAAAGCCTTCAGGGGAGCTTAAAGCATCAGATACAAAGATTTCAAGTACAGCATTGTACCCCCAGAACCCCTCTCCCGCTTTCCCAGTACAAAAAGGCTGCATTTGGTCAGGTCTAAGAATCAAGTCTAAAATCCTTACATGGGTCTTAGGAATTCCTTCTCTGGCTGTGGTACATGCCTTTAATTCCAGCACCCAAGGAAGAGACAAGCAGGCCTCTGAGTTTGAGGCCAGACTGGTCTACATAAGGAATTCTAAAGACTTCCAAGCTTTCCAGGGCTGTAGAGTAAGAGCCTGTCTTACCCTACAAGGGGTAAGGGGTGCTTCCCAAAGCACTTGGTGAGACTGTTCTACTCTCTCTACCTGGGCCCACTTGACCCTGAATTAAGAGTCCACATCTGGTTTCCAGATTCTGTACAGCTGGCTACAGCTGAATCATGACCCACTGAGCTGCCCTTGCTAGCGATAGGTCTGCACCCACTCGCTGCTCACACTGCTCTGATTATAGATCCAAATGTGCTTGCCTTCAGTCAGTGCCGTGCACACTCCCCGTTATGAAATATGGATCTGAATCACCTTTCAAGAGATGATCTCACTGTCCTACAAACAGATGCTCAATTAGAAAACATTGGGAACGGAATCTGCTGCTGTTTATTGCTTATAAAACAAATGAGCCTCCAGCACTCCTGCAGTGAAGAAAGCAGGTGCAGGGTTACGAAAGTTTCCTCTGAAAGAACTTAATTGTGAGAATGTCCCTGTCAAGGAAGACATTCACCACACCTCAGGAGCAGGAATGGAATTGGCTGCCACTAAGTAAAGAGGAGACCCTAACAAAGTCTAGTCAGTCATCAAGGTGCAAGCTGAGTGAGGGGTCAGCCATATCCACACATGATAAGGGTTAGCATGTACGTGATGTGCTAATATTTAAGGACAACAGGACATGCCTTATATGTTTAGAAGACTTCTCTAGGGAGCAAGAGATAGCTCCCCTTTTAGGGAGTGCCAGTTGCTCCTGCAGAGGACTGCCTATAACTACATCTCCATGGGATCCAGCGACCTCTTCTGGCCTCCTCCTGCTAGATACACACAGATACATGTATACACATAATATGTACATATGTGACACCTCTGACTGACCAGTGGAAAACAGATGGAGAATACACAAAAGTACAGGCTAGCAACTGGAGTAGCTTGGACTAAAGAGAAGGGCACAAAGAGAAACGAAGCAAGAGGAAGTGTTTCAGGTTTTATTTTTTTTTTTTTTAGATTTTATTTATTATGTATACAACATTCTGCTTCCATCTCATAACGGATGGTTGTGAGCCACCATGTGGTTGCTGGGAATTGAACTCAGGACCTCTGGAAGAGCAGTCAGCGTTCTTAACCTTTGAGCCATCTCTCCAGACCCCAGGTTTTGTTTATTGAGATAGGGTCCACGTAGCTGAAGATGACCCTGAGCCTGATCCTCCTGCCTCCACTTCCCAAATGCTATGATTACAGGCATGGATCATCACACCCAGTTTATGCAGCACTGGGGATTAAACCCAAGGCATTGTGAATACTAGGCAAACACTCTATCCCTAGCCTGTTTTTTTGTTTTGTTTTGTTTTGTTTTTTGTTGTCGCTTCTTAATAGTACAAAACACAGCAATTTGAGACATAACGTTATATAGTAAGCAATCTCTTGTAGTCTTCATGTAATTTTCTAAATGAGCATAAATCATATGTAACTGTACACACAAGATTCCAAAAAACGGAGCCACAGACAGTTACATCCCCAAAGTTTCCTTTTGTAAACTCTGAGCTAACTTGATGTCTAGAAATCAGGATGTCTGATTTCTCTCAGAGGAGGTTACCAGACCTGGCAGAAACACTGGGACCATGTTTCTACAAGTTGGTAATTTGGCTAGGATGCAGGCTTTGTGGGTTATCTGGCAACCAGTGCTCTCCACTCATCTACAGCACCTGCTGTGCAGGTTTGCTACTTGCTGCCCCCATGGGATGCCACGAGCCCTTGTTCATGTGAGATATCTTGATTTGGGAGCAGAGATATAGCTCATTTGTTAGAGTGCTTGTCTAGCTCGCAGGAAGCCCCCAGTTGATCCCAGCAGTACCTCATAACCAAGGGTGGCGGTACACAGCTGACACCTCTCGCCTCACCCCTCAAAAACGGAAAGGTATCTTAATTTGGACCTTAAAATTGGTTTTTCTTAATTCATTTTAGCAAATCTGGATAGACATAACATACTTGGCTTTAGACTTCACATGGTCTGTAACCACCTAGTCAGGGAGCATTTACATACATCAAGTCTATTACACTCTAATTTGACCCAACTACAGAAAAACTAGGTATACTACTTACAGCTGGCTACTCTGCACACCAGGGAATAACATATGGACAGTAAGTCTGGGGCTGGGATGATTTTCCTTGCCTACAGCAAATGCAAAGTACCCATCGAGTTCAGCTCCAGAACCACAAAAAACAAACAACACTGTCAGATTATATGTTTCCCGGGGTGGAGCTGAGTCCTTCCTCCAACACAGCCTGTGCCACTCCAAGATGTGTAAACACAATCCAAGGAAGCTCACTATCCAGCCTCTCTCTTACTTTCTGAGACAGAACACTCAAACTAACAAAAACCTCTCCGCCAGAGAAAAGCATTTTGTAATTCAAGAGATAGGGAAATGTCAGTTGTTTCCAGCAAATGCGGCCTCCAGAATGCTGACACGGGCATGCTGTTATTCCAAATTGTTTCGGGCCTCTGAATTTGTTTTACCTCATTCTCTCATCTTCATCCCCATTGCCATTTCTAACCCCTGGCCAGAATAAATAGGATACAGTGGTCAAAACACCATTAACTTTCAATCTAAAGGTACAAGGATAACAAAATAAACCTCCACAAAGTTTGGGGAAGCACAATTCACACAAGAACTCGCTGCTACCGGAACGCCAACAATTTGTCATTTTTAAGGACAAAGCGTCCTAAGGGATCTTCCTGTCATCTTTCCTCGGACCCCACCCCCAGATGTAGGACCAGTTCTCTGAAGCATCCTCTATGCAGAGTGGGGTCATAGAGGGAAAATGCACCAACACACTGAGCCCCCGGCTGATGGAACGAGCCCCCACCCTCCCAGCACATGCATCCCGCCGAGCCAGGTGGGCAGGGCCGCGCGCGACCCCGGGATGCGGAGGGCGCGGCTCACCTACCTGCAGGCGCACATTGAGCATCATGGAAGCCACGATGTAGAGGTAGGGAAAGTTGA